GGGTTTTTAAATGGTAGTTTCGTTTCGTGGATTGGTAGTTTTCTGCATACATGTGAATCTGTTGTTTCATGTGGATTGGCAGTCTTCATTTGAAATTGTAGTTTTGATCCTTGCAACGGTAGTGATGCTTGGTTAATGTTACTACTTTCTATTTTTCCTATTTTAGGAATGGCAAGAACCAAGAACCCCAATCGTAGGGGCTCAAAGAGAAAGGACCATGTTCCTAAAGCCTCAAAACACAAGGAACTTGTTACCTACAGCAGTCGTTAGGTTCAAGTTGGAGGTAGGAAAACCTCTGCCGTTGATGAAGTTGTTCCGCAGAAGGATATGGGCAAATCTAAATCACCTGGGAAGAAGTACATCCCCGCATCCATTATATCAATTGTCGACAATGGTATAACAAATGCAAGGATAGAACTAATAAAGAAACTCGAATTGGATTTTGTATTTCATTTGAAGATGAAAAGGTTTGACAGTGAGCTGCTTACCTGGTTGGTTGACCATTTTGATGGTGACACCATGTCGATTCAGATGGATGATAGGCGTCACCTAGTCCTTACCGTTGATGATGTGCAACGGGTTTATGGCCTTCCTCGTGGACAAAAGCAGGTACCCAATGTCAACATTAATAGGCGCAAGACCCTGCCAGGACAGCTGTTGCAGATTGATTCAAAAGAGAAGAGTTGGAACAAGCTTTGGTCCTTGGAAAAAAAGTTACCCAACGTGAATGAGGACAACCTCTAGATCCGGATCTTTGTAATGTTGGTGTTTGGATACGTGTTGGAACCTACAAGTTCGGCAATTGGTCCAATATCAATGTTGGCATTCCTTGAAGACAACAATTTTGGCATCTTCTCTGAGTATGACTGGTGTACGTATGTTTGGAAGAAGTTGAAGAAGTGTCACATCAGCAGCAAGATAACGGCCTATGCCAATGGGGATCTGCACCTCCTGGCTTGTTGGTTCCTGGACCGGACAGGTGAATCCCTTAACATCACCACCAACCTGCCATCGTGCAAGCAATATGACCATACTGAGGTGTACTAGAGGAGAGTTGGAATATTGGAAAAGCATATGGCTTTAGATCGGGTGCCATACATCCACATCGGCACTGACCCCCGGAAGAGGAATCCCTCAGAATCTATTGTGAGGTTAATGGAAGCTAGGAAAAAGAAGGACAAAGTCAATGAAGCTGGAACTTCATATACAGCCCCTACATTCATTCCTGCATCGTCTATAAGTGACCCATCGATTGGGGATATGGGTATTGTTGAGGTAATGGTGATATTTGCTGTTACTATGTTACGCCATGGCTATAATATGTTCACATGTATTTCTTTAGTCAATCTTTCACTTTTTGCCGAGTTTATAAACATAACACTATTTAATGTCCACGTTTCTAGTAATTGGCAACTCTAAATGTCTGGAGGATATGTTGGGCTATGTCAAACTAAAGATAGGACACTGCGACAGGCGATTAGCATAGCTGAAGGTTGGACCACTTGATGATGTTGTAGTCCACCAATCGAGTGAGGAAGCCGACGGCTATCAAGAGGAAGAGGTTACTGCTACTTATGCATCTGATTCCGATGCTAATGATGCTGATTTCGAACAAATGGACGATGATGATGATTCTGGACAGATGGACGATGAAGAAGACTCAAGATGGGTCGTCTGAGGATGAAGGTACTCAAGATGGGTCGTCTGAGGATGAAGAAGGTCAGTTACAAAAAAGTTTTAACAATTTATTTCTCTATTCATTTGAACATATTGTTAACTATCATTGGCACCACCTCTTTCATTGCTGTTTTCGTTAGAAGGAGAAGACCATGCTGTTGAACCAAGAACTTCAAGGACCGGTCAAGGACCTGTGAACAAGTATGCTACCGTTAACAAGGATGACACATGAGACGCCCCTATGAATAAGGGTACTGGTGCTAAAATACCTCAAGGTAATACTATGTTCGTATATGGTCATGTTATTTGCGTAATTATGGTAGTTGTTTTTTCATTCTCATTTTTATATATTGCTTCTGCACTTAAACTGTAATGGCGGTGTTTACATTGTTAGAGGATTGGTTTTGGTAGAAAAATTCCATCCGCTTTGGTAGTGTTTGTAATACTCTTTGGTAGTGTTTGTATTAAGTTTTGGTAGTGATTGTATTACGCTTTGGTAGTGTTTGGAGCATGCACTGGTAGTGTTTGCATTTGTTTTGGTAGTTTTTGAACTATGCATTGGTAGTATCATTTCATTATCATTCGTATATCCCATATTCGGCCATGTAACTTTACTTATGCTCGTTTTTTACATTCATGGAGGTGACAGTGGTGGTTCATCTTTTACAACCCTCGGTCCAGCAAAGGGAGCTGCTTCTGAAGGTAATGACGCATAAAATTTGTGTGCAGCATCTAGGTGTACTTTTGTCTTTACTGCTCACAGACAATTCTCGTACATTTTAAAAATTGTATCTCTTGTGACTATTAGCGGCTTGTAACTAAACCTCTAGTTTTGTCATGTAAACTACTAGCTATCTCCTATTAAAGTCTTCCATTTGTATGTTGTGTTCTTTTTGTAGTGGTGGTCCTTTATATTTGTACCTTCTGCGATTTTAATTTTGTATTTGTCCCGCTTTGGGATTACAAATTTATTAGTTTTATTAGGCTATACCAGAGCCACCTCTGTTAACCAAGTAGCCATAGGAGTTGGAATTTCAGTCGATCCAGTAGATCTTCATGGGAAAGAGATTGTTTTGTACAACACTGTACCCGTAATAGCTGTACCAGGGACCAGCGATCCAAGCAGACAGATTATTTAAAGCACCCTTGATTCCGTACAAGCTGACCTAGAAATGAATTCAGACGATGATTTCCAAACAAGGCCCCCAATGCTGCAGACTTATAATCTTCGTAAGAAGAGGGAGAAGGGTAAGGCCTTAATATCACCTTACTGTAGACTTATTGATATGAAGGAAGACAAAAAAAACCAGCAGATGGTCAAGGTTCTGCTATTGTCACTGTTCCCCCGAATCCTCCTTCAGGGAGTGGCCATCTGCCTATTGATATCCTCAACTGGTTGCGAGTGGAGTATGCATGGGTAGATGGGGATGGATGGTATGATTATTTGAACTTTCTAAATTTCACATAAATACTGGAAAAATTTATTCTCGTATTATATTACATCATTGGAAATTTTGTCACATATTAATTTTAGGGATCCAGAGGAGGTTTTGCGGACAGACATAGAAAGACTCGTTATTTTGCAGCAGAAAGATGCTCAGTTAGCACGCATGCATGTCATTACTAGGCAATTCATTGATTGCTATGTCCAATTCTTGAATCAAAAGATTTGTCAGTCTAGAAATTGACCCAGTGGATTTTTCCGACACGGTTTGCAGTAAGTTGTAACTCACAGTTTATTTTCAGTACTGGTTGTTTCATGGCAATGGTAGACATCCGACCCTTTATGTCATTGTTTCAGTATCTGGAAGGTAGATTACTTCAGTTCGAGGACTCGACGGTGGAGAACACCCAAAGTGTTTATTTGGGCGAGACATATCATCTAATTGAGGAGAGCGTATTTATTAATGATCTGTCATTCACTGACTGCAAGTTTGTAAGTGATTGAGATCTCATACTTTTACGCACACATGCAATTACAATATTAATATGGCGTTTCCAACTCTAATAAAAAATAAATTCCGATTTCCTGCAGTGGTTTTTCCTGTACGAGTACCACTAAAACTTTGTACACTTGATCTGCAATTTGAAAAACAACAATGCATCACTACCATTCCAGTATCTCAGACTACCACTACCAACTCACTACCATTTGACACAAATATGACAAAATATTACTACCACTGCAGTAGCTCATACTAAAGTAAGAAAACAATACCAATCCAATCAAACAAATACCAATGTGGAACGAACTACCAATAACAATACAACATATACCAATATAAGGACTACCATTACGCCAAAACAAATACGTAACAGTACGAATCCAATCCACACACTCAACATGGACATGGAAACCGTCACATTCGTCAGAATTGTCACAAGCGCCGCCTTCGTCCACGGTTGGATCTCCGGCGATATCTGATCCTTTGCAAGGGTTTGTCGACCAAAAGCGATGTTAATATTTTGCTGTTCAGAGCGAAGCATACATTCATGTATGTTAGACTCGAGGTTAGATTCTTACCGCTGTCGCTTTGCATCGCTGTATCCTCTTCCTCGCCACCAGAAACAGGATTTTCTCCGAACAACACTTCCATTGCCAGCCTTCTACCCTCTACCACATCCGACAATGGTTCGACGTCGACGATCGCCATTTCTCTCCTCTGATAATGTGTACATGGCAAAAATCTTTTCCTGCCGGAAATAGGGTACTAACAAAGCCCTACGCTGATTAAACAACCTAATAATTAATTACCATAATTATCTCTCCCTAATTAACTGCGTAATTAAAATGGTAGTCTGAATTAGGATGGAAGCAAAATACTCTTCTTATCCCTAGTAACCACAATGGTACTAACACTAAGTATCCACCATAACCTCTCCCCGGGTGATTAGTGTAGAGCATTGATCCGAACTCCCTCATCTGATATCCTCGGGAGTGGAAGAATCCTGTGGAGAGTTTGGGGCGGCCCCCGTGATCTACACACTACAACGCTCAAGTTAGAATAGAATATATAATAGTGTATAGAGGAATGTAGAGAGAGATTTGGTTTAGAGAGATAACCATAAGTGGTCAAATGTGGGAAGGGAGAGAAGTCCTTTGGTATGGAGGCATGAGCCTCCTTTTATAGGAGTCTTGGGCTTCTTTTCGTGGGCTTGGGCCTGATAAAATGCGTAGAGATGGACTTGGGCTCGTTGATGACGTAGTTGTTTGTTGAATTAGGCGGATTAATACCTCACCCAAAAGTTATATTAGCTCTCAAGTAAAGGAGGGCTAGGCCTTGGTCCAAAGAAGCCCACCCCTAAATCCGCCACGGGCTATAGTGGTACAGAACAAAACTTCCCCGGCCAGCGCACATATTCGACCAGCACTCACCTCTGTGACGTTCATCTCGGCCAGCGCTCGCTCCGCAGAGGCTCATCTTTCGAACCCCTCATCAATCATCATCCCGGACATTGGTTCCGTCCTCGATCGACCGCTTTCTTCCCATATTTTGGTGAGCTCCATTGGGTTTCTCTCACTCTGTACTGATTTCCAATTTCTACTGCTGCATTCATTTGGAAAATAATTGTGCGTTTGAAGAAAGAGTTAGGGATTGTTGTTCTTTGTGCATTTGGTTGATATTTGTGAAGCGTGGGTTGTTTTGAGTAGGTGGTTTTTTTAGGGGGCTCTTTCAGATTAGGTCTAGCTAATTTGAAGACAACTTTTTCTTCAGAGCCTTCTAGTTCTAATTTTGTAAGAGCTTTTGCTGCAGAGTGCACTATAGAAGCAAAGCCAAGAGTTGAATGGAAGGAGACACTCAATGAACTCCTTGATCATTTCTGGGGATCAAGGAACCCTGTGATCTTCACTAATTTAGTCTGTTTTTCTCTCTCCAGTAAGTATCTGTCTGTGTGCCTCCAGCAAGATGCATGGTACTCGTACCCTTTTCCATCGTTACATAAAAACTCTGAGAAGAGTTCCAAACCCTCAGTTTCGCCCCAATATAGAATCTTCTCAACGATTTTGCATCACCCCAAAACCCTCATTCTCCTATTCTGGAAGCGGCTACTCGACATCAGCTGCAGCAACATCCCGTGATGTGCAGGAAATTCTGGTAGAAGTAGAGCGTGAGAAACAAAGGGAAAAGGAGGCCAGGAAGCGTGCAGGGTTGGATACTAAAGATCTAGATGCAGAAGATGAGGAGGATTACATGGGAGTTGGGCCTCTGATTGAGAAGTTAGAGAAGGAGAAGCTGAAAGAAGTTGGTGACAAGCTGAATATGTATGAGGAGCCTTCTGATTCAGAGAACGACGAAGACGATGAAAGGTTTGCACCAGATGCTATCCGGAAAAGGTTTGAACAGTTTCAGAAGAAGCACCAGCGGCATAAAGAGTTGCTTGACAATTTCACTGAGAGTGGTATGTAGTGAATGACGGAAAGAGAGTTGGTCTATATTACTTTATTTGGCAAAGGAGGTAATGCGTTTTGTCTCTCTATTTGTCATTGCAGAGACACTTGACGAGGCATACAAATGGATGAATAGAATTGACAAGTTTGAGCAAAAGCATTTCAGGCTTCGGCCAGAGTACCGGGTCATTGGTGAGTTGATGAATCGTCTGAAGGTAGCCGAAGGCAAGGAAAAATTCATCCTCCAACAGAAGATCAACAGGGCTTTGAGGATGGTGAATTGGAAGGAAGCTTATGATCCTAATGATCCAGCTAATTTTGGAGTTATCCAACATTCTCAAGTGGGTTCTAACGTCGATCTCATTGAAAATGCTGACGGCGAGGATGAGAAGGATGAGAAGCAAACAGTCCAAGATAGTGATGAGGAAGAAGAGTTTGATGACATGAAGGAAAGAGATGATATACTATTAGAGAAGCTGAATGATCTTGATAAGACACTTGAAGAGAAACTCGCCGAGTTGGATTATACATTTGGAAAGAGAGGCAAGGCTCTTGAGGAAGAGATCAGAGATCTTGCTGTGGAGAGAAATGCCCTGACAGAAAAGAAAAGGAAACCAATGTATAGAAAGGTACGTCTATCTTTCTCGTCTCCACTAAAATGTCCAAAAGATTGTCAACTAAGGTCTACACAGTTGCTGGTGGACAGTTGTTCCACCAAGTGTAACTGAGTAATGATTCTGCTAATGAGCAAACAATTGACATATAGTGTCTGCTTTTGTTTTACCATTCTTCTTTAATACAATGATGATACAGTTTCGTGCTGAACTCTTTGTTGTGAGTTAGACTTTGGATACTGGCTTGAAAATATAGTACCATTCATTTGAATAAATCATCTCTCCGATCTTTGTGCGATCAGTAAGTAGCAAAAGTAGCATGTGATTCCTTTGAGGATGCACCACAATGTTGTGATGGAGAAGTATATACGTAAAATTAATGAGCAGATATGCTTCTTTGTGTCATCAATTACTCATGTACATGATTAAATGATGTCAGTGGCGACGATATGCACTTGACTGTTTGCTCTTACTCTTGAGGAAACGGGAACGCACCATGTACTTCTTTCTTCTTAAGCCGCCTTTTGTGATGCTCTTTGTGTGTGACAATGATATTATAAATGTGTTAACCAAACTTTATGAAATACTGACAGGGTTTTGATGTGAAGTTGATCGATGTGAATCGAACTTGTAAAGTTACAAAGGTATTGTGATCTTGCTACTGGGGTTCTTTTTCGTTGCGATTGGTTTAAGAACTATGATTTTCTATACTCTTTGTGTATCTTCTGCAAGGGTGGGCAAGTTGTCAAGTACACTGCTATATTAGCTTGTGGGAACTATCATGGCGTTGTTGGGTTTGCTAAAGCCAAAGGCCCTGCCATCCCTATTGCTCTCCAGAAGGTAATTTTGTTGTGGTTTTGAGCTTCTCTGGTCTAAGACTAGTCTTAGTTAGCCTATTCTATGTTGAGAAGAGGAAGCCATTTGAGTTTTCCTTTCTGTGCAAGTCAATTTGGTTTTCATTAGCAAATGCTTATTCTAGATTTGCATGTTTATAGCAGATGATCAGTACTAATGTCCCCCTCTTGGATTTGATGAGCAGGCATACGAGAAATGTTTTCAGAATCTCCACTACATAGAACGACATGAGGAGCACACAATCGCACATACCATACAAACTGAATATAAAAAGACCAAGGTATAAAGTATAAACACTACTTCTCACATATTTTTCTCCTCTTGCCTATTTGGTGCCCTGAATTATTCATTTATTTCTGTAGGTCTACCTCTGGCCAGCGCCAACTAGAACAGGTATGAAAGCAGGGAAAACCGTCCAAACAATTCTGAATCTGGCTGGTTTCAAGAATGTCAAATCCAAGGTAAATATTGTTCTAGCACTGGCTTGTTGTTCAAGGATCTCAAATTAGAAAAACCAACAAACTGTTAAAACGTCATTAACTGAAACCTTAATTGTAGTTGTTAAGCCAATAGGCAACCGTATCGTTAATAACAATGTTTAACTGGCAATCGAACCAAGCTAATGACTGTTATCGGCTGGTTTTTCATGTTATTTTTGGGTACATTTGCTGAAATATAGTTTCTCCCTTGTTTTCGATGATTTAGTTAAAAACTTGAGTTAGTTCATGGGTTTGATGTTACATTATGGCTTCTGGCCTGTAACAGGAGAACCAAGTCACAAAACAAAAATTATTTGTATTAGGACGCTTACTGGTTACCATCTAACCTGGTTCAGCTTCTGGTTAAGTGGAAAACTGGAATTGGTTACCCATAAGCTCTCATGTAACCCATCAGACCTGCCATCATCATATTTTTCCTTTTCCCTGTCAGGTTGTTGGCTCGCGGAATCCTCACAACACTGTGAAAGCTCTGTTCAAAGCCCTGAATGCAGTAAGTTGCCAACTCTTGCTATGAGCTCATGGAGCCTGGTTTCCAGAGTTTTCTTCTTCTTCTTCTTCTTCTTCTTCTTCTTCTGCCTCATTGACATTTACTTTCCATAACTGTTCAATTCTGCTACAGATTGAAACTCCAAAGGATGTGGAAGAGAAGTTTGGCCGGACAGTGGTCGAAAAGTACTTGCTCTGAGAGACGTCCTGGTGAAGAATCCACACATTCTTATTCCCCAGTTAGGTTCTATTCTTATAGTTGAAGTAGCTTAGCCAGAGGAATATTTCTATGCCCATTTTCGTAGCCAATTTTGCTTGGTCCCTTGGTCGATGTTTGGTTATAGCAGCTGACTGAAGCTGGGTGCCACAATCATGGCAACCAAGAAAAGTATTGTTGCTGAAATTTTTTTTTCGTCACCCTTCTGTTGGAGTGAATGTTTGTTAGTTACCATGACTCTTAATAAGCCACTTTGTATGCTCTGTATCTTTTGCTCTTATTATGACTATCCTACTTGGGCAGAAAAAGATGAGAGAAGGGCTACAATTTCGACTTAACTTGTCCACTCTGATTTGTTTAAACTTGCTTTGAATGTGTATCATCTGAACTCTGAAGCCGGGCTGTGTATTCCATCTCGCTTTTTTACCAGTCCTTTTAAGAGTCAAGAGCGCTTTCTAATATTACTCAGGATTTTACTTTGATCTCTGTTAAGGTATCCTGAATAATTTTACTGTACATAGTATAACTGGTAAAACTATACATTGCGTATACGTTCATCTATATAAAGGAATTTTACTTTGATCTCTGTCAAGGTATCCTGGAAAAATATGTATAGTTGAGCTGAATGTCGTTGAAAAAAAAAAAAAAAAAACAGATAAGCACAAGCAAAAAGTACAATATCTTCATGTTGGATGCATATGTTTCTCACCCTTGGGTTTCCAAGAATTTCAACGCACGATAATATTGAGTGCCTTTTCTAGTTTCTACCGTACAAATGCGCAATGAATCCATACATGCATTAATGCATATTAACAACTAACTAATTCGTTTAAGGAACTTCCTAAACCAAATTGCAGACATCTTAGGGATTCTGATCCAAGGGGCTTTGAAATGTTCAACGTAGTACAATCCAAATTTCCATTCATAGCCACCGGTCCACTCGAATCCATCGAGTAGTGACCACACCATATAGCCCTTCACATTGGCTCCTTTTCTGCAACCACAAATTTTCATCACGAAAGTGAAATTTCGTTAATTACCGCTATCTAGCTCTTGTTGGAAAGGGAAGCTCATTTTCATCAAGATGATGGTGGTGTCTGAATTCACGTTCACTAGTTTTATCGAATTTACCTCATGGCTCTTCTGAGAGATATGAGATGATCTCTGAGATACGAAATTCTCGACTCGTCATCCGGTGGTGCTTCAAGTGGCGAATGCGTGTAGTTTCCCGAATCGGGTAGTCCTATGAAATTCGTTCGACATCCAAATAGATCAATTTCATTTTGAAATGATTCCAAGAGTATTTATTATGCTCGAGAATTTAACTTATATAGAATATATTTTAATCAGAAGTGAGAATCACCCACCATTTTCTGTAATGTAGACAAGAGGATTCTGGTATGTGTCTTTTATGTAGAGTAAAAGGTTATAAAGTCCTCTAGGATATATGGTCATCCAGAGTGTAACTGTCTATCAGATTGAAGTGCATGACAACATTAAATTCATCTAAAAAATATTGATAACAGAAAATAAATAAAATATGATGGGGGGGGGGGGGGATAAGTAATATATATACTCACCTGAGGGCCAATTATTTGTCCATTTCTTACAACTGCATTAATTAAGATAAATAAAAATGATCAGCTTTAGGAAAAGCTATTGACAAATTTCATATTTGTAGATGGTACAAAGCCTTCTTGGAAATGATTTTGAAAGACGGAAAGGATTCGAAAGATTCCATGTGTGTTCGTCGTTTTTTTAATTTAACTATTAAAGAAAGAAGAATAGAGTGTTACCTATTTTGTGACAAAGCCTAATTTTTCGTGAAAGTTATATTAATATAACCGTCAAGAAATAAGTATATTTCAAGATATGTATTATTTCTAAATTGAAGGGACCAAAAGACACTTCTAATCAGAGCATAACTATCAGTTGACATATCCTTCCGTCGCTAAAAGTCATGTTTAAAAAAATTAAGGGTGAAAGGGTTTGCTCAATATCACTTATGTTTTTGCTATAATTAATGAACTAATTAACTGATTCTTTTTATGAATAGAGGTCCAAGAAATCCACTGTGTATAATTAAATTATAAGTACCAATGTACCATAGAGAGAGTTGGCAATTTGAACTTACAAGAAAGTTGGACACGAGTATCGTAGCCATTTGGGTGGCGAGGATCGCTATAGTCAATCCGATCAAGAGTATATTGGGTAGTGTAATAGTTGATCCCCAAAAAGTCGTATGACCCTTTCAGCATTGTCGATTCTTGTTCCGAAAATCTCGGTAGTCTATCCCCAACATATCGCTTCATGTTCTCGGGATAATCGCCTTTGTATATTGGATCCATAAACCTAGAAAAACGCATGTCACATATATATACCATCGTTAACCACGTTTATTTAACTCAAATCAAAGCAAAAATATGAAATAGACGTTTCCCAAATTGGTCCAAATCAGCGACTTACCACCCAAAAGTGAAATCAATGGCTCTTTTGGCTGCTTGAATGTCGCCCTTGCTCGAGCTGTATGGGATGATCCAGTCGGCATTCATTGATATTCCGATGATGCCTTTCTGAGTTGCCTATATACAGGGGCGGAGCCAGGAATCAACGATCGGGGGCCAAATTATTCTTAGTTCGTTATCACAAAATAACTAAATATAACAAGCACAAATAAACATTAAGAATTTTTATATTATTATAATGTCACAAAATATTCATTGAAATGATTAAAATCACATTATAAGCTAACTTTTTTGCATTAACTTCAATAACAAATTAAAAATGAATAATTAACAATGTATATTACATACATTTTCATAATTAAAAGATAGGTTAAAAGATAGGTCCAATATGAGTATTGAAAAGAAATTGTTATTATATATGCATATACTTAATTTGAAGAACTGTATTAGCACTTGGCAGGTAATAAAGATGCTAAAAAAAACAAGCTTGCCCTAAGAATCGAAACACGGATTAAGAGAGAGCAAAACTGACCAATTTCCGTTAGGCTAAGAGTTCATTTAACATGATTTATCCGAACTATATAGTTTTATTCATTATTTTTGGTTTATACGTAAATTATTACTTACACTTAATCAATTAAATTATTGTGCTGTTGTGAGAGGTTCAAAACATACTACTTGTTAACATATCCATTTAATTGAAAGCCACCATATATTGGAATTTGGAGTGAAGTTTGCACAAGTCTGAATACCATGTGTTTAATAAATCGAGTAGCCATGATTCAAACAGAAGACCTCACGATCACATAAAGCTAGGATACAACGTCAAGAACCAGTTGTTCACAATAACTCGTGTTGTTGAGAGTAGGGGTGTAAGTTTGACCGTTAAAGCCCACTGAACTGCCCCGACCCTAAGGGTTAGGCTAGGTCAGTTTGTCTACAGGGTCAGCTTAGGGTCGGGTCAGGGTCAAGTAGGGTCGGGTCAATTTAGGTCAGGTCACTTTTTGACACTATAACCCTTAGCATCATACAAATATGTTGGACCTATTTGTAAATTTTTAAAATTTTAGGTACTAAATTATTAAAAAATAATTTTGGGTACCAAAATATAATTTTACCATCAAATTTTCGGGACATATTTAAAAAAAAAATAAAATCTAGTTACTAAAATGTAAAAAAATAAGTTTGGGTACCAAATTATAATTTTTAGAAAAGTAGTGTATTTATTAGGGTCGACCCACTGACCCGATCCTTCCTGGCCCGCCCTGACTCTAAAGGGTCAGACAGGGTCATCATGAAAGAAACAGGTGTGGGGCGGGTCAGTTGTACATCTTGACCCTTCAGGGGCGGGTCAAACATGATCAGGACAGTGTCAGGAGCGAGTCAGACCAATTTTCAGCCCTAGTTGAGAGTAGGCTGGGCATCTGTCGGTTCGGTCCACAACCGAACCAAATTGAGATAGGATCAGAGAAAAAAAAATTGAGGAAGAGAACCGGACCAAAAGCATATTTGATTCGATTCGGTCCTATCCAAATTCAATTTCAGTTCATTTTTTCTTCATATTTAAAATAATTCAAATGACCAAAAACCAAAATCAAATCGAAACATATTCGATTCGATTCAATACGATGTGAACCGAATTAAAAAATATTCAATTATAAATCATAAACCACTCATTAACACTCCCCTCTAATCTCTGGAGAAAATAGATAACCAGCACATATATAATCCGAATTTGTTTAAATAACCTGATATTTCCGGCGGTACAACTGGACGGCAGCTGCATGAGCAAGGAGCTGGTTGTGGGCCACAATGTATGGCTCCGTCGAGGAATTTCCGGCGTCGCAAGTCCAGTTGGAAACGCTAGTGCAGTGTCCTGGGGCCATATCGCCGACCTCGTAGCCGCCTAGTATCAGCGTCCTCGGCTCGTTTATAGTCACCCAATATTTGATTCGGTCGCCAAATGCCTTGAAGTAAACAACCGCGTAATCTCTAAAATCGTCCCTGAAATTTCAAAAACCAAATTAGAGATTAAATTATATGCTCCCCATTTTTACGTTGGTTTGATAATTTATTGGGTTTATGACTTTTTGTAGCGGTTTGTTGGCGGGGGGTTTGAGGTTAATTACACCATGCGAGTGCTTAGAAATCCGCTGTATTCGTCTTCCAAAATTTGAGGGTAATCCAAATGCACGAGTGACAAAAAGGGCGTCAATCCTGCACAAAATATTGTTAAATTTCAGGAAATCACCATGTTGTGAATATCAATATCATATATACTTTCTTGAATTTTGCATTGATTTGACGAACGAACCTACTATTTTTTTTTGCCACCTTACTGTTGATTGTGGGCAAAGAAATTGCCGAGCCACTTTTGTTTATTTTACTATAGTCCATAAATCAATGTGAAATTTAAGCTAATTCAATTGTATTGATTAAGGTAATAAGTTGCATAAAAAACAAGCTATTAATTAAGATATCTCATCAATAACGTTGTTATAATGGTCTATTCCTTTTTGGTTGATACCCCCACTGAGCTTCCCATCTGATCAAAGTGATCAAAACAATAGTAAGTTAGTTTATTATCTGGTCAAATTGTTTTTTTTACTCTATCAACTTAGGTTTAATATATCGAAATTTTAGATTAAATTTGTATAAGGATCGACTTACATGGCAATATTCTGGACCATGAGAGTGAGAATCTGAAAGTATCCAAACCGAGTTGTTTGGGGGACAGGTTACGGTGATTACTACAAAGTAGTAATCACCGTGGTTACTAAGGGTAAATTGGGTATGGAAAAATAAATTATATTAATTAATTTTTTAATAAATTACATTTAAGGTAGTTACAAAAATCTATTAATTAAAAATCTCTCTTTCTCTCACTTCCGTAATCTCCCGCCAGATTTCCTTTCCATATTTTTCTCAATCTTTCTGCAAAAAAAAAAAAAAAAAAAACGAAATCAGTACCAATCCATTAGACAAACACTACCATTACACGAAAACAACCATTGCAGAAATAAATTTATACCATTACACGAAAACTACCATTCAAGAAATAAAAACACTACCATTTCACAAAACATCAATACCATTCAAGAAATAAAAACACTACCATTTCACAAAACATCAATACCATTGCAGATTTAATCACTACCAATGCGACAAAATCAATACCAATGTAACAAAATCAATACCAATGCGAAAAAATCAATACCAATGCGACAAAAATAATACCAATGCGAAAAAAACTATACCAATACGACAATAACACTACCACTACGAAAAAAATGACTACCATTTAAAAAAAAATGACTACCATTATAAAAAAAATACCATTCCTCCTCGTTCTCCTACTGCCTCGTCAACCGCGATTCCACCTCTTCCTCAACCCTAGACTTCAATTCCGCCTTCCCCGCCGACTCCGTGACGGCGAATCTGATGAAGAGCAGGAAGGTCGATACGTTCTACTACGTCGCCCTGAGCGGGATGAGCGTCGGCGGGGAGCTGCTCTCGATTCCGGCCTCGGTCTTCGAGCTCGATGAGGCCGGGAACGGCGGCGTCATCGTCGACTGCGGCACCGCCATCACGCGCCTCCAGACGGTGTGCAGGGGGGAGGAGGGGCGACGCCGGACTTGGCTTGTTTGTCCGCCGGAAATGCACAAGAACAACCAAAATTGGAGAGGGAGTGAGGGAGGGATCGGAGGAGGCGGGCGGATGGTGGGGGGAGAGAGTGGAAGAGAGGGGAGGGCGGGCGGAGGTGGGGGGAGGTGGGGGGAGGGAAGGTGGGCGGAGGTGGGGGGAGGGGATGAGGGCGGGTGGAGGTGGGCGGCGGTGGGTGGAGGGGTGATGCCGTCGTCTAGGGTTGGTATGGAGGGATGGTAGATTAGGGTTTGAGTAGCATATATAGAATAATCAGGTGTGGACTCTTTTTTAATTCCAAAATTACCCTAAAACAAAATTAACCATGAGATTAAAAAAAGAGGAAAACAAGAAAAATGAACGGCAGATAGTGATGTAGCCATGGTGGCTACTAAAATTTTAGTTGCCACCCTAACTCATCCCAGTTGTTTGGCAAGCGCTATGTCATCCTACAACCATTAAATCATTTCAACTAATTAGTATAATATGAATTCTAGTTATTAGTTCCCTCTAGTCGAGTAGTTGCCTAATACATAGTTCGTCGCTAATGTCACGTACCTTGTATAAGTGGTAAGAATCGGTAGCCGTATCGCCGTTGGTTCGACCTCGTATTCTGTCTGTCATTTAACCAACATGTTGCGAGAACCATATTAATTATGAGACAATTATTAGGATTTTTTAAATATCTTTCCCTCATCATTCTTTGCTATTGATTTAGCGACAAAAATGTTTAGCATCGATTATTTTATACTCAGAATAGCGTCGATGAATTGTTTCATTAAATTACCTGGATGAGCATGACTAAAAGCATCCCATATACTTGGACGTCTACCATCCACCCAAGTGGCGCCTTCATGCTAACAAATCCAACTCCCAGACCAAAGAAAAATTATTAAGAACTTAGTTAATAAATTAATTCCATTTCATCAAAGACGAAAATGAAAATGTACTTGGTAGGAAGATATTGATGCTCCAAACTTGAAGTCTGGAGGAAACTGACGCCGTTTTATCGAGGGTTTGCTGCTCGAATTTGATGATTTGTGAATGAGATTATTCAACGGGAGGCTCCATGTACCGGTTACTAATAATGTTGTGGCTAAAACTAAGAACAAAAGTAGATTCATGATCTCAGATTTCACCACTCTCATTTTCTATCGAGAAGTGATTACTTGCAACTATAGAGGCACTTAATAGGAGACAGAGAAAGACAAACTTATGCTTTGGCCGAAACTGTTAACATCTTAAATGGAATAGAAACGTTATTATAGATATTGCTTTTGTTTTTGACGCATAAATTATTTATTGTACATATATTACCAAACGTAAAACTTAACTTAACTGTGTCAATCTAGCAGAAAGTTAAAGAACGCCAAAGGTATTTTTAACGTGGTTTGATCACTATGACGCTAGTTAACGGTGAGGATCTCCCTTACAGATTTTAGGGTTTGTATTACTTAATACTCTTTAACAGTATATATGAGCAATATATAGGTTAGCTTCTCAAGCTCCAGCCGAACTGCCTCTTAGGCTAATTACATTTTGGTACTTTAATTTCTACAATTAACATTCTCTTTCAAATTGATGTCGAGTAATCAACATCAATTTGCAAGACAAGTACCAACGACGACTGGATGCCACAACTTTTGTTAGCAAGTCTGCAGTCTGGTCCTCTGTAGACAAGTAACTCAGTTGAACTTTGCCTTCTGCAACCAGTTGCCGAATGTAATGAATATGGACTTCTATATGTTTAGTCCGGTCATGAAGCACAGGATTGGGCTATCTGAATAGCACTGGTATTGTCTCCATAGATCCTCATTGGTATAGGACACCTAATACCAAGTTCATCTAGCAATCGTTGCAGCCAAACCATCTCCGTGCTTAACTCTGACATAGAACGATATTCTGCTTCTGTCGAAGACTTTGACACCTTATCCTGTTTCCTGCATCTCCAAGAAATAAAGGATCGGCCGAGCCATACACACCATCCTGAGGTTGATCGCCTGTGTTGAGACATCCTGCGTAATCTGCATATGCAAAACCTTCTAATGCTGTGTGATTGCTAGCGGGAATAACATACCCATATCATGCGTGCCCCTTAAGTACTGCAACCGATGTACCGAATCCAAATGAGCAGTCCCAGCAGCTCCCATGATTGGCGAACATTCTAAACAACATAAGTAATATCTGGCCTCGTGTGAGTGAGATAAATCAAACTGCGAACGATACTTCTATAAAAAGTATGATCTTATAAAAGTTCACCACTATCTCTGCTCAGTTTCAAGTTCTGTTCCATTGGAGTTGAGCATGGACGACAATCACTATACTGTGCAGTGTCAAGCAGGTCAATGATATACTTTCGTTGGCTGACAAACAACCCTTTGGCCGATCGAGTAACTTCCTATCCCAGGAAATATGACACATAACCCAACTCTTCCAGATTAAAAGCCGAGTGCAACGACTGTGTGAGCTCCTTGATCCCGTCCTTATCACTGCCAGTCACTATCATGTCATCGACGTAAAAAAGCAAAACCACAATACCATGGACAGTATTGCAAAGTAACATGGAGGGATCACTCGTACTCTGAGTGAAGCCAGTCTGCAGAATAAAACCATGAAATTTGTCAAACCAAGCCCGCGATGCCTGCTTCAAACTGTATAAGGACTTTCGTAGCTTACAGATCACATCCTTCTCCCCTTTGTCATAACCAGGAGGACACTCCATATAAATAGTTTTCTTCAGATCACCATGAAGGAATGCATTTTTCACATCCAACTGAACCATCGACCAATTCTTCATAGCAGCGACCGCGAAAATACTCCGTACCGTCTGCATCCGCACCACCGGAGCAAACTTCTCGTCATAATCTATGCCAAATTCTTGTCGAAAAGCGTGTGCCACAAGACGAGCATTATGCCTCTCTATAGAGCCATCCAGAAACATCTTAATATTATATACCCAACGATTCCCAGTACATGAATGCCCAAAATACGAGAGACTATGTCCCAGGTATGGTTCGCCTCCAAGGCCTTGGTTTCGGCAGCCATCGCAGCGTCTCATTCTGGATGTCCCATAGCAAACCGGTAGTGGCTAGGAAAAAAAATAGGCTCGGCGGAGAAACTCACGTAATCCTGCATTAAAAGTGGAGCTTGACGAAAGGTGCTACGATTGGAGCGGCGAAGAGGTGGAGGGGACACAGGTTCCAGAGAAGGTGAGGTAGAAGAGTCGGGAAAATTGGGAGCAGAGGAAGAACTAGAACTCGCACATGAAGAGCCCTGAGAGGAAGATCTAGGTGAGAGTGAAGCTTGGGACGAGACTGGCGTTGCTGGTGGAGAAGGAGGATCCGAACCAACAGGCTCAACTTGCGAAACATGAGCAATCGGGTCAACATCAAAACTCGGAAAATGAAGGAGAAAATCCAGTGTAGGAGTATGCTCATTCGGGAGTAGTAGAATAGTACATTACTTGCTCGAGGAAGACGACATGACAAGAAATACGCATACGGCGTTCTTGAGGATCATAACACATGTATCCTTTGTGGCGATCGCTGTTGCCTAAGAAAACACACCTGGCTGTCTTTGACTCAATTTTATGACAATCCTTCTTCGGCAATAACACAAAACATACACAACCAAAAACGCGAAGCCAGGAATAGTTGGGTTGTTTGGAGAAGAGACAAAAGAAAGGAGACTGATCATTGAGTGTTGATGTGATTTGTCGATTAATCACATACACAACAGCTGCGATTGCCTCAACCCAGAAGCCCCGGGAAAAGTGTGACTGAAGTAAGAGAGCACGAGTCAGCTCGAGCACATGTCGATGCTTCGGTTCAACCAATCCATTTTGATGAGAAAATCCGGGATAGGACTGTTGCGAGATAATACCATGGGAACGATAGAACTCGAGCAACGGATGTGAGCTAAACTCCCCACCAGGATCCGAACGAATAACCTTGATCGTGTTGCCAAATTGAGTGCATGATCGATGATCGATGAATAGAGCGAAGTAACAGTACCCCATTCGAGACATAACTGGAGACGAGCCCCAAAAATTTGTATGAATTAAATCAAAAGGGGATTCATAGATAGTATCACTGGAGGAGAATGATGACTGAGAGGTTTTAGCCTCAATACAATTAACACACAGAGGAGGGGACCCAAATCTTGATCTCAAAGAATCGGGATTTTTCCAGAAATAGCACCTTTAAAAAAAAATTACAAAAATAGCATCCAGCCGAAATATTTACAAAAATAGCACCCTTTTTTATGGACCGCACCTCCAAGGTGCGTTTTATATGTAAACCGCACCTGGAGGGTGCATTTTACATATAAACCACATCTCTAAGGTGCGGTTTATTATCGTGGGTCCAAACCGCATCTTGTCCAAGCGGTTTCAGGTCTGACCTACAAAAACCGCTTGGCCGAGGTGCGGTTTTGGGCAGACCTAGCAAAACCGCACCTTGGAGATGCGGTTTGTTTCTCCAAAACAAAACCGCATCCCCAAGGTGCGGTTTTGCCACACAAACCGCACCCCCCAAGTGCGGTTTGTGTGTCAATTATTTTCCGACACTAGACAAGCAGCCATGCAGATCCACAGACGTGGGGCTGCATGGCAGATGAAAAACGCACCTCTAAGGTGCGGTTTTCATTGATGATTTTGCCTATAAAAGGCAGCTGGGAAATCTTCTTCTCTTCACACCTCTCCTTCTCCCTTTTCAATTTTCTATTGTAGCTCCATATTTCTCTAGTGTTTTTGCGGTTAACGTTATCTCGTAATTTTTTTTGGTATTACTTTTTATTGTGAATTGTGTTTTTTATGATATTAGTTGAACTACTTTTTTTTTTTTGCAGATGGCATTCCAAAAGTTCACGCTTGGGTTACGGTGGAATGGTTACACGGAAGAGAGCGGAAAGGAGGTCACCTACATCGGTGGCAATTTTCAGAAAATAAAGGTCGCTACCAGACCGATGCTTGAAGACCTCTATCAAATGTGTACTAACGTTACTTGCATGGATGGCGCGAAAAGAGTTGATCGTATGGTGTACCGATATCCAAACAGAGAAGGGGGGTCGTTGTGGCACGAGGAATATCTCATTACCACTCAGGATGAGGTAGATGCCATGCTCGAATTCTTGAGGTCCAACAAACTTTCCAAAGCCGAGATGTTCGTTTACACCGAGCCGGTCGTAGGTGTTGGAGATCATTCTGGAGACGGTCAAACATCTGGTATCCATGGTGGAGGTGAATTATATGGAGATCATCCCTACCAAAGTTACCATGATCCTCATTCCTATTTTCAGTATCAAGAGCAAGGTGAAGGTCATCATCAATCTTACCCGTCATATGAAGAAGAAGTTCAACCGGACCATGCCAACCAACCCAGTACAACTTCCAATCAGGCAGTGGTAGTTTTCACAACTACCATTATGGAGCTGATGAAGGTGCCTTTCATGAGCTGGATCAGATGGAAGATGCCCTGCCAACACCAGTCAGTGACCCCTCCGATGAAGAAGGAGAGAACAATGTTAGTGTAGACAGCTCTGACCCTCTTGAAGGTGCTGATGATTCAGGACCAGAGTCAGACTCAGATAATGATGATGAGGTGGATCATGACTGTGTACCAGTCCCCTACTACAATCACAATCCAGACGACAATTGGATGGTCCAGTGGGGCGGATGCAAACAAACAAGTCTTTTTGTTAGCCTTCGCCATTGTTGAGAGAGAGAATACTGATAGCTATGGATGGTTTTTCCGGAAAATTCAGCTCCACGTCACTAGGAGGACGAACCTGACAATAATCTCTGGTCGGCACGCCGGGATTAGAGTTGCCATCTTAGGTTTGGATCCAGCCTGGAAGTGGTCCCAAAGGTGGTGCATACGACACTTCAAGAGCAACTAGAACCATCATTTCAAGCGAAAGAAGCTTGCTAATAATTTGTGGTGGATTGGTAAGCTCTCTATTGGTTGTTTAATTTTGGAGAAGAACAATATCTTATATCAAATAAATGGTACACTTGTTAGACTCTTTATAAAGAGAAGCACGTCTAAGGAAATGGGGTTTTAAGCGATTATCATGATCCTCCCATTTCCTGAGAAAATCGGGTATTAAGAGATCCTCGGACCCCTCATTTTCTGTCAAAAAGGCTGCGTTTCTAAGGAGATGTAAACCTCTCCTAAGAGTTTAACGAGAGTACCTGATTGTTGTTCGAATTGTAATAAATTGCCGAATTATTACTAACGTATTACTTAATTGTGATTACCTCAGTTGTTGCATACCAGGAGAAAAAATTCCAGGAGAAGTTGCAGAAGATGCGCGAGTTATGCCCTGAAGGGGCACACTGGCTGGATGGACTCGACCTATCCATGTGGACATTTCATAAAGACGGAGGTACAAGATGGGGTATGGCCACAATGAACTCATTAGAGAGTATCAATTCTGCCTACAAGGGTGTTCGGGCGATGCCAATCTCTGCCATTGTGGAGATGACTTTCTGGAAAACGAATGGATGGTTCGTCAATCGACTACACTGGGCAAGGACGAACGAGACACAGAGAAAGGTCCATGCCAATAAAGTCACAGAAATACTGGAGCATGACAATCGGAATAGTAGTCGACACAGTGTAACCGTTATGAATCGGGCAACTGGCGAGTTTAGCGTGACGATCGAACACCGTGAGGATGGTAGACGCGGCCACGCGGGGGCCATCGCCATGAAGTTTTGGTAAATTTCAGGACAAAACTTGGTGAGTGCTCATGCCAAAAGTATCAGGGGAGAGGGTGACCATGTTCTCATGCAATGGCTGTAATTAAAAATAGGAGCAAAGACCCCCGTCATTTCGTCAGTCCATTCTTCAATATCGACTCACTCAAAAATTGCTATGGACGTAGTTTCCGTGCATTGCCTGATGAAGCTTTCTGGCCGGTCTACTTAGGAAAGTTGATAATCCCGCCGTTCTGACAGAGGCGTGAACCGGGCCGACCGAGGAAAAAGAGAATTCAAAACGAAATGGATCAAAGTGGAAGACCACCACGAGGCCCAAGGCGATGTTCAGTATGCAGAGTTCCAGGGCATGATAAACGGAGTTGTCCAGGTCAGATTGGTCCACAAAATCCAAGGCCTGATGTGGGGGAGTCAGCTAATACGACATAGTTTGCGGTTTTCATTTGTTGGTACTTGGTATGTATGTTTTCAATTATTGTCAGAGTTAGAGCTATGATGCTTGGAACTTTCGTGTTTTCAAATAACCCTCATGAGAACACTCAAGCCTTAAGTTAACACGATAAAAGTAGAGAAAGCCAAGAACTTATAACTAAAATAAAAACTAAAACAACACTCAATTAAAGAAACTAAAATAGAAGGGTTGCAAGTACATAAAAATAAAACATAACTAAAACAACACTCAATTAAAGAAACAAAAATTTCTGGAAATTATGATATAGTTAGAGAACTTCAAAATAAATAAATATAGAAAGGCGTATCTCGCGCGATCAGGAAAAGAAGGAATTAATATATGACGAAACCCGTAACCACCGCAACTCCTTGTCCTTGTCCTCTTTCGCTTTCTGCAATTCTCTCCTAACCTGTAAAAATATTATGCTGCCGCCGGAGAAGAAAATCACTAATCCCTATACGATGGCGGCTTAAAACAAACCAATTAAGACGGAGGAACAAACCACCGCCACCGCAACCACGACGCCGCGGCCAAACAAACCCATCAAGACGGAGCCCAAAACCATGTATTTATGCCCATCAGAACGCACCCTCCAGGGGCGGTCTGGTAATTTTTCCCCAGTCAAAACCGCACCTTGCCGAGGCGGTTTGCGTTCCCTGAAGCTCGACCGCACTTTGGCGCTGCGTTCTTCGATTTGTGGCAAGGATCGCTAACCTAGCAAGCGGTCCGCCACTAGATCGCATCTTCATTCTGCGATCCACAAGGCCGCTGCCCACCAAACACAGACCGCACCTCGAAGGTGCGGCTTCCAGTCTGACGTGGACTAAAACGCACCTTGGAGCTGTGGTCTATTAAAAATGGTGCTATTAGTGTAATTTTTTTTGGCTAGGTGCTAGTTTTGTAAATTTTTTTAAACGTGCTATTATTTGAAAAATCCCCAAAGAATCAGACAAGAGATTGAGACGAGACATATTAAGTAGTCTTGCGTTATGGGGATGTCCCAAACGCTTATGCCACAAATCCCAAACAGAAGTACGAACACTGAAATCCACAGAATCCAAAGGTCGGACTGAACATGCCAACAAATCAGGAGAAGTAGCCGACATATCAGGCATGAGTTCCTTATTAAGCATAAAATCATCAGAAACTAATCAAGCATCTTCTAAGTCTTCACCCGCAGCCGAAGCCACCAGACCACCAGACTTGAATCCATTCTTCGTGGCAACAGCCACCGAGGATCGAAGCGAGATCAGGTGCTGGTCGTGGGAGAACTCCTCGAGGGTAAAAACTCTACCTCCCTTTTTACCCTTGCCCATTACCTTTCCTGTGATCTGATCCTGCACAATACAACCGCGATTATCGAATTTAACCACACACCCATCCTCTGTCAACTAACCCACGGAGACCAACTGAGAAACCAGATTCATAACATATTAGGTGTCAGGTAGGGTGACCCCACCAGTAGTAGCGGTACCAATACCATGGGTAGCAAGTTTTCCCCGTTGGCAACTTGTAAAGTGGAGGACAAAACAGTATGTAATGACGAAAAATGAGAGCGATCATTAGACATATGGTTAAAAGATGCAGAATCAAGAAGCCAACGAGAACGAGTACCTAAGCCACCACTAGTAGCAAAAGCAGAATTGAGAGCACTAGGAAGAATATCCTGCAAAGCTTCAGTAACCAATCGACGAACATCGGCAGAGGTTAAGCCAGGAGAGACCGGGGCAACCACGGTTGGAGGAGGAATAGGAGTAGCAGGAACCACTGCATAGGCAGCAGCTGGAGAACCCTGCTGGTGGGAACCACGAGCACCAGAAGAAGCCACTTTGTTACGACGGGCAGCAACTTTACATTCAAGAACAATGTGGCCTGACCGTTTGCAGTAAATACAAAAGTTCTTTTGCTTACAGTGAGGCTGAATATGACCTTGTTCACGGCAGTAGTGGCAAGTCAAGTGACTAGTGTTGCCACGCTGGAATTGAGGACGGGCACCCCCTGAACGAGAAACAACAAAAGCAGACTCCGCAGAACCCTCGAGCTTGGCGAGACTGCGAAGTCTTGTCTCCTCGCGGAATAACTCGTCAAGAGC